GATGTAGGCGGTGCCCAGATACCGTACCATTAACTTACTGAATGAGTGCAATTAAGCGACGGGACAAAATTGTGCACCGCGTCTAAAGCGATGCTTAGATTACCTACTTGACTGCACACTTAAAGAACCGATAGGTCATGCCTTCGGTAACCTCTCAAGAGGTACTTATCAAAAGTATAGCCTAAGGTAGCTCGCTGGACTAGTTGTGACTCACAACACGGGGCCCCAATTTTCTTGGAGTTTGTTGAAGATTTCAGATCAGCTTGGCTCTGCCCCAGTTACAGAGTGAACGGTAGGAGACGAATATCGACACGCAATCACTAGATTGAGGTTTCGAAGATACCTTCAAGAAGAGTGTAGAATACCGCAGTTTCATGTAAAAATTACATCGAATTCTTCTCGAAAGAATCGCGCGACAATGTCAGGTAGGGTCCTGCTGAACACTAGTCTTGCCTATATGTATATATTTGTTACTGGTATAACATTACAAAACGAATAGAGCAAAAGGGAGAAGGGTCAGGAGGTGGCCATGCGGCCAGGGCGATGTACCACGGCGACGACGATGAGCAAATCGACCCGGCTGTCCCAAACCAGCCACATTTACAGAGGTCTTGTGCGACGCCGCGTAAGTGATTGATGATGATGCGGCAACGAGACGACGATTCGACCGCGACAACTCCATTCCTTAAAGTAAGCTCGTCCTCGAGCTCCAGTTGTAGATCCCGTTTGGCGTAGGAATTCTTTTAGAACATAAAACTGCAGAAAAACAGATGAGATGCCTTGTATGACATTAGCAAATCTTCTTCTTCTCCTGCTTCTTCTTCTTATTCTTTAGCGTTTGTCCCGCTTGTAGACGGGGTCCGCTTTTCTGATATGTTGACGTCACTTCTCCCGATTGAACGCTTGATCGGGGTGGATGTTAACCGCTTTAAGGCCTTCGTGCAACGTATCGAGCCACCACTGCTTTGGACGTCCTCTAGGCTGCTTTCCGGTTACGTCAAGGTTGAGACCGATCTTACGAACACTGTCGTTCTTTGCGCGAAGAATATGACCATACCATCGTAGACGGGCTTCGCCCATTTTATCGACAATGGGCGCAACACCGAATCGCTCCCTGATGGCGTCATTACTTATACGGTCTAAGCGTGTTACTCCGGCTGTCACAGCATTTCGGTCTCCATCACACTGAGACGGGCTTCAACTTCTTTGGTTGCAGGCCAGCATTCAGCGTAAATTGCAACCGGCCGGATGATGGCTCCGTAGATCTTGGATTTGAGACGCTCAGGGATGTTCTTATCGCAGAGTATGCCAGTCATTGAGCGCCACTTCAGCCACGCTGCATTCCCGCGTGAATTCGTTTCAAAACCCAGGCTGCAGTCAGACGCAATTGCCGATCCAAGGTACTTGAAGGTTGTTGTGCGTGTGAGCTCAGTGCCATTGATCTTGATAGAGTCTGGCTCGCTCGAATCAGTGGTTAAGTACTCAGTCTTTTTGACGTCTAACGGGGTGGATGTTAACCGCTTTAAGGCCTTCGTGCAACGTATCGAGCCACCACTGCTTTGGACGTCCTCTAGGCTGCTTTCCGGTTACGTCAAGGTTGAGACCGATCTTACGAACACTGTCGTTCTTTGCGCGAAGAATATGACCATACCATCGTAGACGGGCTTCGCCCATTTTATCGACAATGGGCGCAACACCGAATCGCTCCCTGATGGCGTCATTACTTATACGGTCTAAGCGTGTTACTCCGGCTGTCACAGCATTTCGGTCTCCATCACACTGAGACGGGCTTCAACTTCTTTGGTTGCAGGCCAGCATTCAGCGTAAATTGCAACCGGCCGGATGATGGCTCCGTAGATCTTGGATTTGAGACGCTCAGGGATGTTCTTATCGCAGAGTATGCCAGTCATTGAGCGCCACTTCAGCCACGCTGCATTCCCGCGTGAATTCGTTTCAAAACCCAGGCTGCAGTCAGACGCAATTGCCGATCCAAGGTACTTGAAGGTTGTTGTGCGTGTGAGCTCAGTGCCATTGATCTTGATAGAGTCTGGCTCGCTCGAATCAGTGGTTAAGTACTCAGTCTTTTTGACGTCTAACCTGAGCCCGAACATAGCCAGACGGTCGGACCAGGTCTGCACCTGTGACTCGAGCTCGCTTTTGTCTTCGCTGGCGAGCATCACGTCATCGGCATAGAGAAGCGTTCATGGAGCCGACCTGGATGTCTTTTTTAATGGCATCCAGGACGACAACAAAAAGTAGTGGGGATAACGCAGAGTGGTGTGGTGTACTCCAACGGAGATGGTAAAATCCGTCGATGTGCCCGCTGCCGTTTGCACTCGGCTCTTTGGGCTAGTGTAAAGAATGCGCACCCACCTAATGAGCTCTTCGGAAACGCCATGCTGTCGTAAGGCATATCATATAAAGTCACATGGAACGCGATCGAAAGCCTTCGCCAAGTCTATAAAGGCAAGATGTACTGGTCTTCATTTCTCGCGATGCTTTTCTAAAAGAAGGCGAGTGGCGTGTATGGCATCGATGGTGCTACAACCAGCTACGAAACCACACTGGTTAATGGTCAGCTCGACGATATCACGGATACGGCTGTCTATAATTTGCTCAAAGATTTTCATGCTGTGCGAGAACAAGCGAATTGAACAGTAGCAGGTGCAGTCCCCAGGACTGCCCCTATTCTTCCAAATAGGAATCGTCGTGCTCTGTTGCCAGCTTTCAGGCGCCTTCTTCTCTGCGACGACCTGGTTGAGGAATTCCGTCAACCATCCTGCAGGATTCCAGTCTTTCGAGTTCCACAAGTCCACCGCTTAGTCGTCAGGGCCAGTGGCTTTGTCTGATTTCATCTTCTTCAAAGCCGTAATGGTCTCATTCACGGTTATCTTCTGAACGGGA